GTGTTTTTGGTTTTTTCGGTTATTTTTTATGTTTTTGGTTTTTCTTAGTTATATGGCCGTTTTTAATTGGTTTTTGTATATCTTTAAGTGTTTTTGACCTTAACCGCTCCGAGATCGAAGGGACGGCCGATCCCCCCACCCTTCACGATACGTGAATTTTCGGTCTTCCGCGTTCCGTAACACCGTTCCGGCTCCTCGTTAAGGGCCTTATTTAGATCATCCTTGGCGCGGAGTGCTTGTTATTGGATCTGCCGATCATGATGTTAAAAGATTAACAGCCAGGAGCACCAAAACATATATGTACTATTCGCCCGGAATTACATACCGACGGAAAATAAAGGAAGGTAAAGAAACGACTGGCTAGCGTCTAAACACAGCTTCACATGCTTTAACCGTCTTTGCCAAAACCAGTTCAATGTGTGGTCCATTAACATCAGGTCGACAAAGACGTTAATATTTAGAGGTATTGACCAGATTGGGTAAATTGACTTGGTTTTTGCAAGAATACTGAGCTAATGGCTGGGCCTCAGTATCCCCAGACCACTAGGTCACCTCTGAAAACAGGACTACTACTTATTATCATATTACTATTGTTTTTTTTTCAGAAGATAAAAACTATCACATCCATCGGAGATGAATTAACCCTTTCCGACAAATTCTAGGTTCTCATATTCTGAAAAATGATTTAGATGTTAATTAAACTCAACTCAAGACATACCAGGAAGCTAAAATTTATCTAAAAACCAGTTTCAGTCTCTTGCCAAGACCCTTCCGAATTGTTGAATCCGGTCAAAGAGCGGACTTGTTGAAGTCCAGGAAGGGTAAAAAAATCTTCCCATTCCCCTCCGAAATCTTGGGAACTGCTCCGTAACAATTGTAGCTGTACAATCGTTACAATTCGGATAGTCTCGATTGTAATTTTAATATAGTTTTCACTTTTTTTTTCTCTGTCGACACATCATACTACATCACTATTGCTTTCTAACTTTTTTCATGAATCTGAACCTTGAGGATATGACTTAAAATTTGACTGAGATAAAATATTTCTTCTGATTTTCAGTGCAATTATCTTGATTTAAAACTTCGTCTCCCAGGTTTTGGGATCCAGGACGGTACTGCCGTTCAACAAACTAAATATATCCTACTATGCTTCCTCCTTTTGGAAATTTAGTTGTCCTGGTTGTTAAATTTAAGAAACTCGGTGGTTATAACAAAGAAATAACCTCCCTCTTCAAGAGGTTACTCAGGTCTTTCATGTCACCACAAAGTGAACAGTCATCTTGGTTGATTAAAAACAATCATGCAGGCTCGAATATTTTAATAAGTTTTTCACTCAAGCCTCTCTAAATAAAAAGTAAGTGTCAATAAAGACACTAACTAAAATCAAAATTCAATTTTAAAAATGCAACAGTTTTTAAAGTAGAAAATAATTAAAATTTTTTTTCACTCAATTTCAATTTCAAGCTTAATTGCTTGGTTTCTCATTTGAGTTTTTCTCGCACAAAAACAAATCTGGCCACCACAGCAGGAAAACGTCAAACGGCACAACATCATCAATAATTCTATCAACAGCCACCGCAAAATCAATTACAGAGCTTGCACTGCAGAGGAATTGACAGAAATCCTGAAGACACTGACAAATATCAGCGCAGTTGTACAATGTCAGAGAAACTGTACACCAGACATCAGGAACCAGCTGATCAGCTCGGGTATTATTGTAGTTCCTATTAAGAGGTGTCTCATTTCAAAAGAAAGAGAAGAACGGAGCTGGTCAACGAATATCAGGCACTGCACCAGGACGTCCAGCTGGAGCAAAAAATCTTTGCAGATTGTGTTCGAACACCAAGACAACCTGCCAGCTGTTTTGTCCAAGCTCGTTTAAACACGAAAAAGAAATCGCAAACGAGAAGGAGGGCGGAGAAAAGAAGACTGGCGAATAGAGGCGAGGAAACTTTTTGGCCGACTGACGAGGAGGCTTCAACGGAGAGGGCGAGTTAGAGTTGTGTTATTTGTGCTGCATTGTGTCACGTGAGGTTTCTTGCTCGTGGCCTGCGAAACAATGAGCAGAGTTGTACTCCCACCTCCATTCTTGTTTTGGACTTAAAAAAACAAACTCATTTGGAAATTAGTTCGTGTTTATGCGTCCATATATGTTAAATTTATAGAGTCTCACCAACGTGTTAAATTTTTGAGAGTTTGTCTAGAAAACGACATTATAGTTGAGTTTTTGAAGTTCAGGGTACCAAAAAATGGGGTATTTTTGAACGAAACGGTACACAGTTTTCAGACAAAACTTCTAAGAATGGAGATTAACAAGGCGAGGACAGATGAAAAAAACGTTGAAGTCAAACTAGAAAGGGTGAGAGGCGCAGCACAGTGGGGTGTAAATGAGAATTTTGGCCTTCGGTAATGAAATACTTAAGTCTCAGGGGCCAAATACAAACAAAAACAGTTAAAGAGACCCCCCAAAAAAGCTAATGAAATTATCAGAAAGGCAAGATCGACCTCTAGGGAAGCAAGGTGAGGGTTCGGTAAAAACTCTTGATGATGTTGAATTACCAGAGTGGGTACAACAAGTGCTGGCATTAGGGCCGAAACATCCTGTCAATATAAATTTCATGAGACACACATTCTCGCCGATATTGACATCTTTCTATCGGATCTCAAAAATTGTAAAGTCCCTGGGAGGCCCTTTGTGAGATCGAAGCTGTGGCAAAAGCCTATGCTAAAAGGTTGAAACAAATACCATCTGACAAGGGTGTTGAGAAGGCCCGAAATTATCTGAAGAGTAATGGATTAGTTGCGGTACCGTATGACAAGAGCGTGGGTTTTTGTGTAATGAGGAAGGAATCCTACAAGAACAAGTTGTCTGATTTTTTAGATTCAAATAAAGTCAGCGAAAACAAAGGAACAAGTGATGCAATTGTGACGATGATAGAAAGAGATATCAATAAGGAGTTGTTGGCTAGAGGAAAAAAGACGAAATACGTGAGAATCTCTTCACAAGGATGAGGTCTACTGGAAGATAGCCCGCCAGGCTTTATGGGTTGGCAAAGACTCATAAAGAGAATACCCTATTAAGACCGGTCTTCCAATTATAACTTGCCTGGTTGCTCTAATTATAACTTGAACAAGGTTGCTCTAATTATAACTTGAATTTTTTGAGATAATTGAGGGCACAAACATCGAAACCAGCTCACTGGATGCGAGAGAAATCTCAGAGAGCTTTAGTCTTGAGCCCAATGAAAATTTGATATCTCTAGATGCGAAGAGTTTGTATACAAATGTTCCACTCAAAGAAGCAATAGACATAGCTCTGAGAAAACTGTATGAGAAAGATGAACCACCATCAATTCTTTGGAAAACCATTAAGAGACTGTTCAACATGGCAGTTAGTCAAGTCCATTTCAAGTGCAATGAAACATGGTACGTTCAGAATTATGGTTTGGCAATGGGGTCATCTGTTGTGGTTATTTTAGCAAATCTTTGGCTGAAGCAGTACGAAACCGCACAACCGAGGGATATTCCCGAAATGTTTTTGCGCGAGAACGATATTAACGGAATATGTCCCGAGTGCAGTAAGAAGGTCACGTATAGGTCAAAAAGTGTGGAATGCGAAAGCTGTTTGAGCTGGTATCGCGTAGATCGCGGTGATAAATCAGATGATGTGTATCAAAATATAAGTGAATTCGTCTGGTACTGTAGAAAATGCATCGCGATAAGGAAAAATAATAAGTCAGTGCAGCAAGCTAAGTTAATTCTCTGTTACGTTGTCGATATAGTCAGAACAAAGAAGATTGATCCTGAAAAGGTGCTACGGGCAGCAAACTTACTACATCCAAAATTACAGTTCACAATATAGACACCAAAAACAATTGGGAAATAGGCGTTTTTGAATTTTCAAATTAGTATTGACAAAAACAGTAAAATTAACTGTTGGTGGTATCAGAAACCATCAGTTACAGGTATCATACTAAATTTTAGAAGTTGCACAAAATAAGTGTGATTGAAGGAACTGTTCGCCGTGTTTTCCGCAGTACGTCAACATGGGAAGAATTTGATAAAGCGATGAAAATCAACCGTGAACAATTAATGGTTAACCAATATCGGAAAATTGGTCGTCGCGAGTTGCGTCGCAAGCTCTTGAAAAGATCATCAGGGAGGGCAAAAACAAAAAGAACATGCTGAGAAAAAGAAGCTTCATGATTATATTATTGATTCACAAAACATCTTGATGGTTCAATATAGGGGTACCACAGCCAGACATAAGCAAAAAAAGTGCACGATATCACCAATGTGCAGATGATATTCACGACGAGGAAAATGAAAACTTGTATGCCCTCTTTAAAATCCTCCTTCTTCAGTGAACTGAAATCGAAAGTGATGAACAGACTTGAAGGTTGTGGGTCCAGATACATCTATGTGTCCAGACGGTCCGACATCTCACCACAAGGATTGAGGAACACCGAAAAGAGGATACAGCAGTGTGGCAGTGAGAGTAGTAAGTCGAAGTTTAATTGGAATATAATTGATCAGGCGTCCAGCAACATTAGGTTACTTACATTAGAGGCTCTGCACATTAGGAAAGAGAGACTGGCAATTAACACGCCGCGACGAATTTCGAAGTAGGGAGCTGACACTAAGGCTATAGTTCCAGAATCTAAAAATTCTGGCTTAAACAAAAAATATTGAAATAACTTACATATTAGCATGAATATAGCGACAAAACGAAATTGTAGAAAACAAAAAACGTGAAAACTCAGAAGTATGTGACTAAATGAATAAAAGTGCTTCATAATAGTTGTTACATAATTTCAGTAAAATTTGTAAAGGTGTGATTGTTGAATTTATCAAATTTTGAAATAATGATGTGTATGACAATTTTTATGATCTTTGATTATTTTGTACAGATAGTTTAGATTTTTAAAACCTGAAGATGCACAAAAATGTGCGAAAACGTTTGTTTGAATTTTCAAATATTTAAGCATAAACTATTTTTCAGATTTGTTCATGACTCTCATTGGACCGATGAAAATTGCTAAAGATGCCTTATCTTTTCGCTCCATTGGTGCGAAGATCAGGCCATTGCTTTGAAGCTAATTTGTTGCTGAGTTCACAAATCAGGAATAGGTTAAAGAGATCTAACATCATTCAAATTAGCGCCAGTCTTGGGAGCAAATCTCCGAAAAGAAGACGATTTAAAATGACTGATTTTTCAGGTAACTGTTTGTTGACTGATTAAAATTAGATAGGGTTAGATTATAGAATGCTCATAGCGTTTAAGTTAATGAAAAAACCCCCAAAGAGTTTAAACTTCTTCAAAAAATTCGATAAAGGGCTGCACGGAGAGTACTGAACTTTTGAAACCAGTTTGCTGCTAATAGCGGGTTATTACTTGAAACAAAAATAGCTGAAGCGTACCCAATCCAAAACGATTAAAAGAAAAACGTTTGAAATATTGCTGGCGATTCCTTAATACAGATTTTAATGAAAACTGTATATGCCGTTGGCAAATTGCCTGCGACTATCAAAATTGCAGAAATACTTGGAGAGGTGTTTAAACTTAACCAGGGGTGAAGTCCCATCAAGAGAAATCTTGAAATTCCACATCAACAATAAATTTTTTAAAGAAAAATCAGAAGGTCAAAAGTATCTTAGTAACCGAGGTTACAGTTAGGAGTCCCTTCATCAGGTATTCCATTCAAAATCCTCGGAATTTTCTATATATGGAAGTGATAATGATAAAAAAAAGGTGATGGATAAGTGTTGATGTCCTTAAAATTAAACTCGATACCTGTTACGTTTCTTCAAAAAGATTACGCAACTCGACACGAGAAAATATAATATAGAAAACGTTTGAACTTGTTCATGACTTTCATTGGACCGATGACACAATTTTAAACAAATAGATAACGGGTGAGGTGCAAATGGGTGAGGTGCAAATGGAGGCATCTATCTATTAAGTAAACGTAACGCCAAATTCTCCTTTTTGTGAACGTAACGCCCAGTGCAACTGGAGGCATCTATCGATTATGTAAACTTAACGCCAAATACACGTAACGCCGAAGTTTCCTTTTATCCGAAATCTGCATAAATTCCAATCTAAAATCTTTTTTCGGTCGAGGCCATTGTCCTGAATTTTTTAGTTACTTTTTTTTAATTAATAGGAAACTTCCTAGGCTTACTTCTTTTGGCATATTATTTCTATGCAGTTAACCTAATCCTAACGGTTCCTTTAAAAGAGAGCTGGTTTTTTTTTCAGTAATAAGGCTGAAACACAAACTCAGTGGCTAGAAAACAGACTTGAGGTTCAATATGTGCCATGGAAATTTAAGCTATGGGAACGCTTGGATGCTTTACTATGTCTTGCTCGTTATGGGTGTCAAGTGTCAAATACTTCTTGTACAGAAGTTTGTTCCTCAAAACACTTTTGGTTCACTTAGGCTTTCTTTGCTCAGTCATTTTTCGTCAGAATCTAAGTGATATACGCTGTGGGCTTTTTCGATGTTTCTGTTTTCCTCTGAAAGAGATTGGTAGTCCTTGCCGACCTCTTTTCGTGCTAACCGCAATATGTTAGCTGTTTTCACAAGTTCATTAGCTACTTCTTGTTCAGATGCTGTCAAAGGAAATTGACCGTTTTTATTTGCTCTTGGCCCTGCCCATTACAGGGCCTTCCTAGGGAGGGAGTGTCATCCATTTCTCCGAAGCCATTCGCACCTTGAGGAGGCGGTTTGCATTGATCTCTTTGATCTAACTCTTATTGAGGTCGGGATGATTTTTGTTCGTTTTTTTTTCAGGAGTTAGTTAAAAGGAAGGCAAGCTCCACTATCGAAGCAAAAGTGTACGTGTCACGAAAAACGTGATCGATCACTAATTTCGAAAGTGGAACTTTATTTTCAGATTTCCCTGCGAAATAAAAAATTTATTGATCCTAGCCCTCCCGCAGTGACACATAATTTAGATTTTTTTCTCTTTGTTTTCCACGCAAAATCAGGTACCACAAATAATTTTTGGACTGGGTTGAGTGATATATCATATTAAAGCCCTTTCCGTAGTGATTCGAAGGACATCAAAAACTTTTCCCTGTGTCGAGAAAAACCGGTTTGAAATTTTTGATTTTTCGTCCAATTTCGATCGAGTGAGCAGGCTTACATTAGCTTATTTATGCCTAATTTTAGTTTTAATCTAATGAAGTTAGTTTCTGGAGTTTTAAGCTTCATCTTAGGACCTTCAAAAATTTGGAAAAAATTTTGAAAAGTTATTTTAATAAAATATTATTTTTTAAATTATTTTTTTTGTTTTTGTTTATTTGTCCTCAAAAATTGTTTTCCAATTTGCAGATCTTACCTGACTGACGAAAATGCCTGAGCTCTACTTTTTCGCCCTGATTGCTTTATCACACCTAGCTCATTTTCAATCTGAAACAATACCATGCGTTTATCGTCTGAATTTAGATATTCTCTGCGGACGAACATGGGAGTTTACAGAAGCGGGCTCGTCATTTTTTACCAATCCAGCTACGTTCAAAGGCGTGGAATTTTCAGTTATGTCCTACAACATCTTGGCGCAGAATCTCTTAGAAGACAACAGGTTAGGCGACTAGTCCTTACTGATCTGGTGGCGTCATTAGTGAATCTGATGGTGCGCCGATGGTATCCGGCAAAAAAAACGACAGCTGTTAAGAGGACAATTGTTTTCGTGATTTTTCAGAAGGCAGTTGAAAAAAAACGTTGCATTTATCTCGCCGCTAACGTATCAAAATGCACGTGCCTATTCTATAAGAAAGTAACGTATCCGAAAGCTGTTTTCTGTTTTGATAATGTCTTGTCTTTATTTATCTAGCACTTACGCGAATGCTTAAAAAATTAGCTAGACTATTTAAGGGTTTTTGAGTGATAATCAACGAGAGTGTTTTACAGTGATTCACTTCGTGAAATTTTTCTCAATGGAATGTACATTGCTTCGGCTGTTTGATTTTTGAATTGAAATTTTAAGTTTGAAGTATATACTTTCCATCCATTGCGATGGTGTAAAAAAGTTTTTAATTCTACTGGAGATTCTCACTCAAGTTTATCTGATTATGGTTTTCAACCTCTTCGAATGAGTACTTCGTTTCTTTGTATAAATTGTAAATTTAAACTTTTGGCATTGTGTAAAATGCGTGTAATATATACACGTAGAAAATTGGGCAATGATTTAGATATTTGTATCAGAGTGTGGACCCCAGAAGTCTTGACTGGGAGCACAGAAGGTATCGTCTACTGTTGGAACTCAGATTCTACAATCCACATGTAAGTTCCTCGTGATTTATCAGAAATTGTTTGCCAGTATTAATTTATTTACTCTGGCGATAAGCTTTTTTCCCCTCAAGTAACTTTGCTCACAGAATGGTCAAGTTAGAATTGGTTTATGTATGTTCAATTCATTGTGTACCTGGCACAGTTGGTCTGGAGGTAACGAATGCGCCTGGGAGGGCAAAAGGTCCTGTGTTAGAATCTGTTAGAACTGGACCTTTTTTTCAAACGGTAAAAATTTCGTTTAAAAAAATGCCGGCTTCTTATTTGTCTCCAATATTTGTCGGCTTAATTGCCACATCGTAAGATTGTTTTTTTTTACTGTACTTATTTTACATTGTGGTTGCTTTTAGTGTTTAGTGTTTTGATTTACTTTTGCTGCTTGTAATTTTACTATTCTTTGCTTCGTACGTTGTCTTATATTTTTCTTCGCTTACAGGCATTCTGCCCAAATGATTTCGGCCTATTAAGAGTAATGAATGTAGTGAAGACTCTTATATAGATCCTGCTAATTTTTTTTTCTGGAAAAGTCTTATAATGCTCTAATAACTACAGATGCGCATTCATACATTTGATGCTTTTATGAATGCAGTTAGGTATATATGCTCTTTTTGATATCATTTGAAATTAATCTGCTGAAAATAACGTAAATAGCACTCTCCAAATACGAACGTGGAAATGGCGCGAAAAAACGTGAACGATTTCTAGTCTCGAAAGTGGAGTTTAATATTAAGATTCTCAGCGGAATAAAAACTTTACCTGTTGATCCAGTTTTCTCAAGTTGGGTTATTATTCTCAAAAAACTGCCATCATAAATTCTTCTGGAAGTTCAAAGGCTTAAAGGGCATTAACTTTTTTCTTTGAGATTCGAAAGTTGAGATTTTTTCAATAAAGCCAGTGTTTTTTCTATGTATACTTGCGTTCACTACTCTTTTCCAATCTTCGATTGGCTATGTTTTTTGATCGGCTTGCAGACCTATTTTTTAGTCTTTTCATGGAAAACAGAATCTTTATGTTCCCTTCTGAATTGCGCAAAATGCTAAATATAATAAGAATAGAAATTATAGTTCAAAGTTCATGACATCAATTTTATTTTCGGTTCTACTCGAATTTACACAAGTTTTGTCGGCCCCGTTGCCGGTCGATGAAATTTTTTTTAATTAAGCTCTGTTTATGGTGTTTTTGAACAAGTTTTCCGCAAATCAAACATCATTCCCGACAAAATATCGCATTTTACTTGTTGTTTTTACCCCTGCGATAAGCAAGGGCATTGGAATCAGGTACTAGACTTTTTCCATTAAACAACTTTGTTCACAGATGGTTAATTTTGCATGGTCATCAGTTTACCACTGCATGTTCAATTATTAGCATGGTTACTGTATTTGCTTTGTGTTTGAGTAAGTAGTTGCCTGTTATTATTTCTAATAAATTCGAAAATTTTTGGTAGATTTTTGGCACTGAGGTCGTCTGGCTTCAATTCTGCCGGCATATTTTCGTAATGTTTTTATTTTATTAATTTTTTGGGTTTTATAACGATTGAGCTGTAACGAGAAAGTTTTGAAAAAGTAAAATCACCCTCTTAAGCCATCCGTAATACAAATAGACAAATTATTCATAAAAAAGTGCAAATATTTGTTGAACAAATTTTCCGTGTTTTAGTTCGTTTATTATAATACTCAAGACGACTACGGCGTGTGGTTTGAAATAAGCAGGAACCTGTATTTTTTAAAACTAGAACTTTCTGCTTTTTTAGACAATCGTCCGCCTCTTTACTTTTTCGGCTTAGTTCCCGTTGCACAGACACTCTTTAAAGATTCCGCTTTCTTTTAGATTTCTGAAGGCAATTTAAAGGTCGATAAGATTCTGGCTCCAAATTTTTGAATGCTACAAATCAACAACACCAGTTCGTTTTCAAAAAAAAATAAAATAAATTTAATCATGAAAAAAAAATTTGCTTAATTTTTTTTTTATAATTGTCACTTTTTCAATTTTTACTACGCTCGAAGTCTTTCTTGCTAATTCTTCAGCGTAACGCCATTTTAATCCTATACTTGTTGTATCGCAAGTGGTGCGAAGTTCAGCTTCGCCTCTATGATTTTTTCTTCGGTTTTTGTACTCAGTGGCTATCCTTTTCTTTCCTGCTAGTACCTAATTCAAAATCTACCATCTATCTAGCGCATCTGGTGTTGAGTTAACAGGCCTGCTTGAGACGAGAAATGCACGTGGTTCAAATGCGGCTGGGACCTGTTTTTTTGCAAACTAAATTTTTTCAGCTTTTTCGGACTATAGTCTTTGTTTTTGTAGGCTTAGTTCCCGTGACCACGGATGCTTTTAACGTTCAACATTCTTTTAAACGTCTGAATACTATTTTTAAAGGCCCATAATATAAGAAATTGAGTTCAGAGTAAAGTCTCGGAGACAACTTGTCCTGTTAACATCTTGTCCCGCTAAATAATTGAATAATTTTCTCAAATTGCCTTTTCGTCAATTAATAGACACATTTCGAACGAGGCTGCATTTCAAATACCCTTTCTCTTCAATGTTTGTTTTCATGTTGGTTTCAAATTTACCAGTTCGGTTTTAATAGTTTCCGTTAGTTTTTTTCTTTATTTCTTTTTTTCTTTCGGCTAAGAATTTTTCCGATTTATACCTTATCCGCTTACTGAAATCATTTCGCATCGTTGGATGAGCGAGACAATTTTTCTATGCGCGTGAGTTACTTGAAAGGCTAATTAAATGTTAATTTTTTTTAATGAAAACGTTTCTTTGGCTCACCTGGTGTCTGCTCAAAAGTTGTCGGCTTAGTTTTTTGTTATAAGGAAGGCAAACTCCACCATCAAACAGCAATATTGTAGAGATCCTGAAAAAAGTGACTGACTTCTAGTTCGAAAGTGGTTATTATTTCTCAGATTTCCCAGCTGAATAAAAGCTCTAGATATTGGTCCAGTTTTCTCAAAAGTGTCCATCATAAATTGTTTCGGAAATTCGAAACTTTTTCAAAATAACAAGTCTGTATTTTTTGTTTCCTTGTTTTCGTTGGCTCTTTTCCAACTGTCTGTTGACTATGCCCATGTTGTTGTTGTTTACTCGTTCGTATTTAGGAGTCTATAAATACAGCCTTTTACATCTATGAGGACCCAATTTATACTGAATTTGAGGGTTTGCTAACGATTCTTCAGTTTAGTTCACTTGCAAGAGCAAGTAACTTGTTCTTGGGAACTAGACTGCTAACTTTTTCTGAACAACTTTTCTTACACTTTCTGCCGTCATCCGCAATTGTGACTTGCTCAAAGGCTGACATGATCATTTTCTTGAAATTGCAAATAAACTACTTTTTACATATTTGTTACTTTTGGGTAATAAGTAAGGTTTTCAAATGTAATCATTGAAAAACAGTTGATTTTTCCGGTTTTCGTCTTCATTTCTGTCGGCTGATTTTCAATGTTTTCATTTCAATTGTTGTTTTCTTGGAAGCTTTTCCAGAAGTTCCTTTTTTCAAAGCTTGGGTGTCTTAAGTTTTGATTCAAACCGTTTCACTATAATTGAAAGTTGCTCTGTAATTTGTATAAGGCATGAAATTTCTGTTGATGATAGTTTTTTCGACTTCCAAGATATTTTGCAACTTGATTTTTTGATTTTCATATCCACTTCTTGTTTGATGAAAACAAGTATAATGAAAAAGTACGGGATCGGTTTTTAAGTTTTTTTTTAATGATTTTTTTGAGAAGCTTTGGATAAGTTTTTCTCTTTTTCTAAAATTTAGTTTTTTTTTTCATAAACTACTCTGCCGCTTTTTGAAAAAATTCGAGAAAATTCGGTACCAATGTGAAGTCCGCCAACTCTATCGTGTGGCTGCATAATCGCCTAGTCTTTTTTTTACTTTAACTCATTTTCTACAGCCTGCGAAAGAAAATGAGGGGGGATTTTTGACAATTTTTTTTTTCATTTCTCGAAAGCTACCCTCCCAAATCTGAGGTTTTGGGTTCAGCGGATAGAACAGGTTGTGCGAAGCTCCACTGGTTGAGAGGCTACGCGCAACTCTTTCAGAAAAAATTATGACCCTCTGAGAAGTCAAATTTTTGATTTTTGACCGATTTTTCAACTTTCTGATTTTTCTCAGAAACTACCCTCGCAAATCTGAGATTCTAGTGTCAGTAGGTTGAACGGGTTGTGGGAGGCTCTCCTGCATAGCGAATACGCCCAATTTTTACGTACAAAAAATGCCTCGGAAAAGTTAATTTTTTGATTTTTGACTGTTTTTGGAAACTTTTTGTCTTCTCTCGAAAACTACCCTCCCAAATATGAGATTTTGCTTTTAATGGATAGAGCGGGCTGTGGGAAGTTCCCATGCTTAAACTGTTACGCCTATTTTTTTTTCACAACAAGCTATGATTCGCGAAACGTAAAATTTTTGATTATTTGGCCGTTTTTTGAAAGTTTGACTTTTCTCTGTTAGTGATCATCGTCCGAGACAGATGCATGAAATTTCTGTTGATAAAGTTTTTTCGACACTTAAGCTTGATTTTTTTTTGGAGAAATGACATGCTTTTTTCATATTCAATATCTTGGGATGCAAGTTTTTATTGCTTTAATATTTTATATGTGTACAGTATAATTCTCGGCTTATTGAGGTTCGTCTTAAGTTTTATCGCTTTAGTGGCCGCGCGGTCATAAGTTTTCAAATAAATTTGTCGATCTATTTTTGTCTGCTTAAGTTTTTTCGGCTTAATTGCCACATCTGAGATTCGTTATTTTTGCTGTTAAGTTTTTCTTCATAGTTGTTTTTAGTGTTTTAGACTTTTTATAAAAAAAATCGGCCGATTCGAAGTTTTTGATTTTACCTTTGTAAAATTTCATTTTTTCCATTTTTGACTTTTTTTGGCTCAATTGACTTCTGATTTTTGTATATCGACCTAATGGCCTATTACTGCGGCGTTTGATGATTAAAAGAAAATTCTATAAGTGTGTTCTGAGGGGAAGGAAGACTTAAAAAAATAAATTTTTCGGTGTAGAGTTTTTTTTGTGCATGAAGAGTTGCTGTTCTGGTGTTTTCGGTTCTGACACCGCTTGTTAAGTTTTTGTTTTGGTGTTCTTTCTGCATTCTATTGTCCTAGTTTTTTTTCTCGAAATTATCTTCGTTCAATTTGAAAGGTCTAGTTGTATGTATAGTAATAAAATGGCGATATTTGTTTGCTGATAGTTTTTTGGCTTTATGATTGTCAATTGAGCTCTTGGTTCAGTTTTTGAGTTGTATGCCACCGAGTATTTAGGACATTTTTGGCGTTCGTGGATACTATTTGGGCAGTACATGGTTTTTTCCAATAAGTTTTTGTCGAACAAATTCGCTTTATTCTAAGCTGGTATGCTGTCGGCTTATTTGCGTACTATTTTGTTTTCTGCAATTTTCTGATATTATTTATTTGATCGAGAAGATTTTCTTGGAACTCATTCATAAATTAAACAAGGAACTTGAGATTTGTGATTTTTTTGTTCTAGTTCTTCAACAATAACAACGTCCTCTTTGACAAGTTCTTGAGTCTCTTGCTGTTTTAATCATATTTTTGTTGAATTGCAAGTGGTCCGAAGTGTGCAAAACTTTGCCTCTGTGTGCAATGTTTTAATTGCATCGGTTAACAATTGATCTTGCGCATTTTCAAGGGCGGTTTTTATGTTAAGTTTTTGCTTGTTCCACTGGTGATGGGTCGTGAAATTTTTCACCTCAAAAAAGTTTATAGCTTGAATATTTTTTGTCTTCAATTTCGTTTTCGGCTCAACGAGGGTCGACTCAAGTTTTTCTCTCTAGTTGCTGCTCGGTTAGCTTGATGTTTTGAAAAAAAACACTTCATTTTTTCTATTCAGTTATTTTAATGCTATATTTTAATTGTATCAACGAAGTTTTTAAATGCTTTTGCGTGTTTTGGGAGATATGGGTGGTAAAAATTCAACTTGAAGAAAGTTTGTCTTGGAGGTTTTTATGTCTGTAGTTTTGTTTTTGGCTAAACGAGTGTCGACCCAAGTTTTTTTTTGACCTAGTTGCCGCTGAGTCATTGATAGAAGTTATTTTTTCAGCCTAATTTTTTTTTGGAAAAATTGACTTCCTTCTTTTCCTTATTTTGTAATGAAATGTTTTGCTTATATGGCAAGTGTTGCGAAGCTTCGCTTCTCATCTTTGTAAGATTCTGACAACCGCTAAAAAGTTTTGTTCCAGACTTAGCATGATTGAATTGCCAGGCAATAAACAGATATTATTTAGGTAGTGTGCATGCAAGAAGTCAAGCAACAACACTTGAGTGATGAACTTAGCGAAGTGTTTGCATCTATGGGCTATGGAATGGTGTATCAGTCCAGAACAGGAGACAAACAAGACGGCTGTCTCATAATGTACAAGAAACAGTGCTTCAAATTGGTTACTGAACGCAAGGTCAAATTCTACAGGAAAGGTTGATATCTTGTTTTTTTTTCTGATTTTTTTCTCTTGGAAGCTAAACTTGTTCAACCTTAAAATACACTACCCTTTTGCTTACAAACAAGAATTGAGAGAAATAAGGGTTTTGATGACGATGACGAAGTATACGGATGAATGAAAGCGAAACATATTGACTGTTCACGTGGTGATGGTAATTAATGGTAATCCCGTGCGAACACCACGAATGGTTCCAGTTGACCTGGTACTATTGTAATTTTAATAGATTTGTTCTCGTTTTGTGTTTGTATTGTTGTTTAAACTGTCAAATTTTCCTTAATTGACAGTTAGTTGATTTGATTCATAGTTTTTTTTTTTTTAGCTATTCGGAACTTTTTTCGTGACGTCAAATAGGTGGCTATACGTCAAACCTCGCTTAAGTGACATCCATGCTTAAATTTTGAAGCTAATAACTAAATATTGGATTGACAGAGATAATCATTTGTTGCCCAGGATACATCAATTATTTCCTTGTTTGTTAAATTTTTATTTCCCTAGTTGGATTTGACGAATTCGACCAAGCTACGCGACTCACTTAATTTCGAGTTGCGTATTTTATTAGACTCGGGTGGGTGGAGTAAGTTATCGTGTTTTTCGCTTTCAAGAGTTAGATTTCTTGATATCAACGGATTATGAATATTGGCCCTGAATGTGCGAATATCAGTGTTTGCTTTAAATAGCAATTAAATTAATGTCTTGTTTCCCGCTCTGAAAAATGATTATTAAGTGCATTTGCTGGTGGCGTCATAAGCTTGATTGCTACTTATTTCTCGTCTAATAGCTATGTAACTCACGTGGGAGTTACTACCTACCCATAGTTGTTATTGCTTTCCTATTTACGGGTTTTGTTTAATGAGAATTCAGAGGCCCTTAGTTCATCAAATTGATCACTATTTTCTGAGAGAAAGAAGCAATCTTAGTCGATCAGCGGAAAAATCTTGATACCATTTTAGCTTTTATCATTCGTCTGCCGATTTTCTATAACCTTTTTTTGTGCTCTAATGTGTTAGCTTAGATTATAAAATGGTGGATATATTTCTTGTGTTCGCTACATTGTTTTTTTGGTTAGGCATTCTTTACTGTCTAAGAGTACTCTATTCGAAGACCTCCATCGATGACGACGATGATATGGAACACTGGGAACGAGTCAGACTTTTAAAACTTCGACCAGAAACTGAAGTCTAACATGATTCTGATTCTTAATTAATTTTCCATAATTACTGTTGCATTACATTAGTTGAAATGGCATAGAAAACCTTTGGAGCTGAAATTGGATTATAAAACTGCTCTAAAGCCCTGGGTTGTGGCCACGAAGAACAGAACCAACCAATAGACATAGGCTTGTTATATATACTCGTTACACTGTTTTTCTCTTGGATGACCAGATCTGCAATTAATTTCATGCTCCAGGAGTCGCTACCCTGGACAGGGACAACGTGGGATTGATTGTGGTGCTGTCCCCGGTGACCAGGCCAGAACTGAAAGTCTGCATCGCCACCACGCACCTCCTCTTCAACCCCAAAAGAGGAGACATCAAACTGGCTCAGCTCGCTCTTCTGCTGGCCGAAATCAACAGTGTAAACATTTCTATGTACCTTTCAAACCCTTCCATTGAAATCATTACCACGACTGTTGTGTTAATTGTTTGCGTATCTCTTCGCGCTAAGTAGGAGTAGTCCAATGGGTAGCCCTACACTAATTGTGAACATAAGGGCGAATTCCAGGTCAGCGCAAGAGATATGGGAATACTTTTCTTAACCAAAAAGTAAGGTTTATCAGTTTGACTTTCTACTTCCAGTTTTCAAAAATACTGATTCCGCTGATAGTTTTGATATATTATGTTTCCAATGTCGATCGAATGAAAATATCGTTCTTAAACAGAATGGTTTGCATTCCCACTCAAAAACTAACAGATAGATTTGACTAAACTACAAGTTTGCTTAGTTTAATCGTTCCTCTAGCTAGTGTTTTTTTTGTTCAGTGTGTGGGAAAGAATAACAGCAGTACACCCTGTATTCTATGTGGGGATTTCAACAGTGCCCCCTTCTCCCCCCTCTACAACTTCATCACTCAGGGTGCACTAGACTACACCAAGTTCACCGGCCCACAAATATCAGCACAAGAGAGACACTCCTCCTCCTACGCTAGTCTGATCAAATCTCCTCTTGTTCCAAGTGTAGTCGGCCTGCAGGATGATTGTCAATATGGTACGCAAGAATGTCGAATTTAGTAGACAGAATCGGACGAGAAATGATTTAAGCGATCAAGATCAGATTAAATCCCGGAATTAAGTCTTAAGTAAAATTAAATTTTTGTGATATTTTAAAGCGCTGTAAATAAAATCATACAGCTTACACTTGCGAGAGCAAGTGTCTTACACTTGCGAATGACTTACACTTGCGAGAGCAAGTGTCTTGTCATTCGGAACTATACTTTTTAGTTCATACTTTAAGTTCATTCTAACTATACTTACTCATCTGTAAGAAACTTGCTGTTTCCAACACGTGAGCGTGCGTGCTGATATAAAAAAATCTTAGAGTAGCTTGATATGACGAAATTGTAATTTACATTCTAAAAATTGATTCGAATTAATGTATTTTGAGTGTTTTTTGGATTTTTGGTTTTCGTTGTAGTTTTTGTCAGCCCATTTTATCTTTTTTGTGTTAAATTTTTGCGTTTTGTAAGCAATTGAAATTGCTTTATTATTGAACCTGAACGAAGTAACAAAGTGCTAGCTCCTCCCATTTTTGATCTAGAGGTAACAGTGTTTCCTTTGTACCCTAAGGTTTGATTTTCGAGTGCCGGCTGGATCTTGTTTTTTTAAATATTTTGTTTCACGGAAAATTGAGGCTTCGACTTAAATTTTTTTTCAGATAGAAACAATTACTATTATTCACAGTCGTCTTATTATTTGGTCAATAAAGCAACTGTTTTAAGATTCTGAATAAGACTTTGTTTTTTTTGTAACAGATTTAGCTTTTGTTTTATGAGCTTAGTTAACTTCTTTTTGTTTCAAAGGAAAATTTTACCTTCAAAGGAGATTTTTGTAAAAATTGCAGGATCGTTGTGGCGCTGAAATGTCAAGTTTTAAAGCGTAGTTGGTCAATTTTTTGTGACAACAATTTTTATGGTATGTTTGTTTTTGACTGAGTGCGCGTTTTCTCAAATTTTGTCAGCCGAGCGGCTCCTCTGTAAAAGCTTGTTTAATGCTGGTGGCTGTTTTTTTGCATATCTCGAGGTCGCATGTTCGAATCCGAATTAAAGCAAAAGTTTTAATAATTTGAAGGCGCATTTCGGCTTGTTCCTTTTTCACTTTTTAGAGCTGCTTTTTGTCGTTCTCTCGCGTGTTTTTGCAAATGACAGCTTCGCCTGTGTTAGAATTTAAAAAAATATAATAAGTTTTTTTGATGGGGTGAATTCTATAATTTGACTTTTGCAACTAGTTAATGATGTTATGTGATTTTTTAACACATGCGAGCGAGAGTAGTGTTATATAATAACAATCTTTATTTTTCTATCCCAACTCGCCTTAAATAGTGCTCAATTTGGTGGATTTTTTGCTGCATAGCTATGGCCATTTTATAGCATCTGTTCAATATTCTTCGATAGCCTGTTTTTTATTTCACGCACACATTGCTGAGATGTCCGGACGTTAGAATCGTAATCCTCTGGTTGTTTCAATTACGGCCGATAGATTTTTTTTTGCTGAAGTTCCGTTTTAGTTTTGTTTCAATTCGCGTTTCAATTTCAATTCGTTATGTTGAAATTCCCATCACCCCCCCCCCCCCCTCAAAATTATCACACCCTTCTTTAGGGTTCGACAGCTAAAAGTGGCTGTCGTAAAATTGAACCAAAGGTAACAAGGATGCAAGAGATTGGTCGTCCACCCTCACACCTTGGCAAGCTACTCGCTGAAGGGTTGCTGCTCATATTTTATTGGGACGATAAATAAGAAAAAAAAAATTTTAATATTTTTTTAATTCTTTTTGCTTGCAGCAGCTGACAACGAGGAGTGCAGTGCGGTGACTCCTATGGGTTCCATTCTGATGCACAGACTGGGCCTGGTTAGTGTCTACAGTCACACCTCCCTCCGCTATCCCCAAGTGGCAGAAGTGACGTCATTCCACGACAGGAGTGAGGAGACACTGGACTATCTTTTCTACACCAGCAGACACTCCAGTGAGTTGAAAAGAGTAATAAAGCTAAAGTTATTGAATCTGAATCGCATCCTATTTTCAATTTCTTCTTTAATCTAGAAGATGTTTTTGCTTTTGCATATTACAAGGGTGTTGCAGCAGGGCAATAGATTTTCCCTTGTGAATAAATTTGTTCAGAGAATGGCCATACTAATCAATAATGGCAAGTTTTCACCTAGGTGTGTAACGTAAACTGAAGTTCTAATTTTGGGCGCTTGGATGGCCAAGAGGCTGGGTGGCGACTTGGTCCTTCTTAATTGACCGGTCCCTTTAAGTCATTATTTGTCTTTTTTTGAGGGGGTCCCTCTTTAAGAACTCAATTTCTTTTCTGATTAATTTTTCGAAAATGACTTAAAAAGTGTTAACAAAGCCATTCATCGAAACAAATTTGGTGACCTAAATTTTTTCCCCTGAAATATGGTCATTTTAGTTATAATCGGAGCTCAATAATTGGAAATAATGACTGTCCTACAAACTGTCTTCAAGTAAACCTAGTCTTTGAAATTGTCTGATGTTTTAATTGTAGCTATAATAAATATTTCTTTGTTCCAACCAAACTATCCAATTATCCCGTTTAACCTATTCACTACTCTGAGGTCCCTTTTTTCTTTAAAAATTTGGTCACTCTGCCTAGAGCTAACGTATCTGGCTTGTCTGAAGCAGATATTTGGTTTGATTCCGGCTGAGCCCTTTTTTGCCTTCTACACACGTGTTTTTCAGATTCTTTTTATCATTTGTCGGCTTCTTGTTATTCGCCTGAAACCTTGTGGGCTTAATTTTTGGTTTTCAAATTGTGGCTTAAGTAAGATTAAGGTTATCTCATGGTTTGAATATTTTGTTCTTTACGACAGAAATTTGATGTTAATTTTTTGCTGTGGTTTTTCGGCTCAATGGTTATCAACCGACGCTCTGTAGCATTGAAAATGTCTCAACTAAATAGTTTCCAGGACTTCAAAATTAAACATTACTTCGAGTGAACTGTGAATGAATGTGCTCGTTTGATCTCAATTGAAATTAAATAAGGATCCGACTCCAAAAGTAAAGCAGATAAGGTGAAAAAAAGTGAGTTCGTTCGGGTTCGTTTCAAAAATGGATTTTATTTTTATCCTTCTAGAAAAGAGAAGAATTTACCCATTGATGAAGTTCTGTTCGAATTGAGTTAGATATATCACAAAGTGGCAATCGTAAAAAATTTCATGAGGCTAACAACTTTAAGCCGATGTTTTTGATATTTCTATGTAATAATGACATAAAAATCAGTCATTTTTATGTAAATTACAAAAAAAGAACCAAACTAAAATCAGTCATTTTTTGTTCCTTAATTTATTGTACACTTTTGAAAGTCTGTTGGCTAGATTTTGAGTAGGGAATGGGCGTCAGCTTACTTTCTCAAATGTACTCTTTAAAGGCACGAGATATTTATTTAAAGGCACAAGAAGCTCAAATGGGAAAATTCAGCAGTTTGATGTGATGTAAATTTTCAGTGAAAATGGAGTTTGCTGGTTTAGGTTCATGAACGTAGTGAAGACTCTTGTGAAGGTCTTGATGATTTTTTTGTTTTTTTTTAAATCTCAGGAAAAGTCTTAAAATGCTCTATAACTACAGATGTGCATTCATACATATTCATGCACTTAGGTATATACGCAACCTTTTGAGTTCAATTGAAATTCATCTGCTGAAAGTGACGTAAATAGCACTCTCCAAATACGAACGTGGAAATGGCGCAAAAAACGTGAACAATTTCTTGTTTCAATAGTGGAATTTGATTTTTAGATTTCCAGCGGAATAAAAACTTAACCCATTGATCCAGTTTTCTCAAGTTGGGTTAATTTTATTAATAAAGCCCCAGTCATAATTTCTCTAGAAATTCAAAGAGCTTTAAGGGCATCAATTTTTTTCTTTGAAGTTCGAAAGTTCAAACAAAGTCTGTGTTTTTCTGTTTACTTGCATTCATTACTCTTTTTCAACTGTCTGTTGGCTATGTTTAAGAGTAATCGTGTTATTTTGTACATTCTTCTACTCGAATTTTAAGTTTTTTCTATTGAAAAGGTTTCGGCTATCGCAAGTTAATATTAACGTTGTATCGCAATGAACGAAGTGAAGACACTCATTTATGTCAGTATTTCTCAAGTTCTATTGAAAGTCAATTGCTAAAAGCAAGAAAATTTCAACTTTTGAGTTACAGGGGATAAGAGCTTTTAGTCATTTTTTTGGTCTCTCTGAGTGCATTGACACTTTCCAACTGTCTGTTGGCTAAAAGTGAAAAGTTGTTTTTAGCGATGAAAGGAGCCGTGGCGCTTACTCCGCTATGCAGACTGGGTCTTCTCACAGGGAACCAACTGAAGTCCAGAGGGGGATTGCCAAACAAACTTCAGCCGTCAGACCATTTGCCTCTCATGTGTTCATTTCTGCTGTCCAAAAATGAATGAGACATAGCTGCTTGCTGAATTAATGGAAAATTTTTGCGATTTTAAAATATACTTATCTCATAGTTCAATTCAAATTAACTTAAGTTTAAATTTGGCGTTCATTTGAAGAGAAAAATATTTTCATACTAGCACCAGTTTTCAACTAAGTGATAACAGATGATCATGGCATATTCTAATACCATTCCATTGAAATTAATATCACGATTTTATAGAGCTATTTAATTACGCGAATGACGTGATATGATGCTCTTTTGTAAACTACTAATTTCTGTGAAATTCTACCGCCTCATCAAAAGTGGGCGGCGCTTTTTTGCATATTTGTCAAAAGTTGATTTCTCACAAATAGCCTGTAGTCAGATTTTGATGTAGTTGACCGTCTCAGCTTCGTAGACGAGCCTAAATGTTGTTTATACTACAGCCAAAAGCCAAATTTCATTAAGATTTTCCTGTGAAAATTTATCTATCAAAGTTACTGAATCACTTTTTAGCTGTTTCAATGAACGTAGTTAAGACTTTTGTGTAGGTCTTTTTGATTAAGAGCTATGAACTTAGTGATTACTCTTGGATAGGTCTTGGTGATTTTTAATTTTTTTTCTTGCATTTCAGTGGAAGTCAAACTCCACTCTCGAACCGCAAAAGTATAAGTGTCACAAAAAACGTGATCGGCTTCTAATTTCAAAAGTGGAACCTTATTTTCAGATTTCCTAGGAAAAAGAAAGTTTACTTATTGATCAAGTTTTCTAAAATTGGGTCATTTTTATTAAAAAAGGTGCACTGATAAATTGTTCATGAAATTCAAAGCGCTCTCATGCCATTTTTTTCAGACTTATATAACTCGTAATGGTTGAAATTTGTTTTTTTTTAGGAAAAGTCTTAAATTTTGTTCGGGCTTAAATTTACTGTTTCGATTTTTGCCTTTTGGTTTCTTTTTAAGTTCAACTCGTTTCCCTTGCAAACTCCACTACGAAAAACGTCATAGACTTCCATTTTCACAAATGCGTTTTCATCATCAGGTTTCCCAGTGAAATAAAACTTCTATTCTAAAACACGATAGTTTTTTCTTCGAAGTTCGCATATTGAATATTATTCAAAAATGTCTTTTTTTCAGTCGTTAGCTTGTCGACAGTTTCCCAACAGTCTCTTGGCCTTGTAGTTCAGCTCATTTTGAAGCGACTGTTTCTGCTTAGCTCGCCCAGGGTTATTGCACTTGAGTGGGAGTCTAACTTCATGCTCGAGATTGTCTTGAAACTGTTCTTTTTTACGCTTGCTCAAAGTGTCTCCTTTGAAAATTGTAATTGAACTATAGTTTCTTCTTTTTTTGGTGGCCTCAAGTCGGAGATTTTCTTGATGTTCTAATTTTTTTGCGTTGATTGATTGTTCTAAAATTACATTATATGCGTACTGAATAACCATAGAGCATTCAAACCGATACAACATTTTCAAGAAGAAACAACTGAAATTTTTTATGAGAGTTTGGCCGAGCGGTTTGGAGAGTTTGGACAAACTCCTGAAGTCATTTGTTTCAAGATGAAAAGGTCAGGAGTTCGAATCTCGGGTCGGACTAAAGTTTTCACCCATCGGGTAATTTTTCAAAAAGAAAAACCCTAAATTGGGTGAAGTAATGGCAAAGTCAAAATGTTTTGACTCGGTTGTGTCAAAATGGAAACGGATGGGAAAAGCTTGATTACATCGATCATCCTGCTGTTTTCAAAACTGGTCAAGCTTAATTTTGAAGTTTTCTAGAAACGGTTTTTCAAATAATAAATTTGGAGATCAAGCTCAGCATCATTCATAATTTGACATAAGTGCTGCTCCCTCATAGGTTATTGTCAAGTATGACATGAAGTGTTTCTTATAACGGCACGTTTTTTTTCATCAGGCTTTGGGAGTTTTTCTGTTCATCCTAGAACTTTTCGCGGAGCTTTGGAAACGATAAGTGTTTTATGCTGACGAGATTCACGAATTTCCTATTCCATCCTTCAACTGTATTTTGGCTCTCTTTTATGTCGAAATTGTGTTTTTGACGTGCTTTGTCGTTGAGAGTCGACCAATGTAATTATCCACAAAAAAGTTAAATACCGGGTAGGTAGTTGTAGAGCATGAATGCTGACGCTACCCCTAGGAAGAAAGCGGTACTCAACAGCATTCGGACATTGTCACGGAACTCTAGATCAATTCATACTTATTTGTGTTTCCAGTAGATTAAATTTGAAGCCGAACGCTTTGACACGAATGAAAGTAGCCGTATTGGATTTCGGAATACATACATTTTTTATCGCTATTTCACAATCAATTGTTGCCACTTAGGGTAGCTTTACAAGCATAGCTTGTAATATAGTATGAACTCTCTTTTTTCCAACCTAAGTCGCAAATATTGTTGCGACGCTACTATTGTTGCGCTAAAATGTGTGCATTTGAAAGTATTCATTTTGATCGATAACCAGCTATTCAGTACAGCCCATGCTAAGGATATTAACACCGACTATTATTGTTCCGAATTTCGTAATGAAAGATACGGAGTAATTGTGCTCGGGTGGTTTTTTCTTCTTCAGACAAATTTCAACTTTTTAATTAGCTATTTTTGAAGGAAGTTTTTTTTAAACATCATTCAAAAGGTATTGTTGTCCTGAGCTTAAATTTGAAAACACTTTTTACCTGTGATAATTTTTCGTAAAATTACGCGGTTTTAAAGGTTGCCATTTTGGTCAATTTGGGAAAATTAATGCGCGATATATAAAAAGCGGAGATTTAATTCGTCTGAGAAATTGGTTGAAGGAAGCTTTTTTGCCATAATTTATTGATAACAACGAGTGAAATTTCTCACTTTGTGTTTGATATGGCGTGTGAGGAGATGATTTTCACAAAAATCTCAAATTTAAAAAAATCATTTTATTTTAATTAACATTTAATTTATTAAACATTTTTTTTAAACAGGTTATTTTTGCTTCATAGACTTTAAAAGGAAGTTTGAACATTCAGGGCTTCGGCCTGATTAATGCAGTCTTGTTTTTTTTTTCAAACCTAAGTCGCAAATATTAGTGCTCTTTTTGAAAGAGCTCTTTTATTGCAGTATGTGCATAAGATAATTAACCAGCGATTAAGTACAGCAGTGCTAAGGATATTAACACACTATTGTATTACATCTAGCACTTCTACTTCAAGGTGTTATGGTTATGTAGCGTAGAGGTAGGGAAGGAGACCAGCAGCAAAATAAGAGAGTTCGAGCCTCAGCAGGGTCGCATGTTTTAAATGAAATTTTTTTCGTATACTAGTTAAAATGCGTCCGCTCTATAGATTGAGGCATGTTAGTCGCTAAATTTCTTTTCAAATTGACTGCTAATGCGTCATAATTGGCTTGCGTCACTTAGCAATTATGTAGACTCATAATTGGCGCGCGTCACTTAAGAATTTTGTAGACTCATTAAGTTTTACTCATTCAGTTTTTCCCAGTAGCGTTGTCGGTCATGTTTTTACTTGTGTATGCGAAGTGCAACTTCGCCTCTGTGTAAAATTACTATTACCGCGCCGTGCATTGGACAGCATACTTAATTCAATCTATAGTACATTTTTATTCAGTCTTAATGCACTAAAAGAGTTGTCACTCAAAGTTTGACATTTAGCTCACGCTCATTTTTATATTTAGTAATGGCCACTTTTAAGCTGAGTTTCCAATTTCATTCAACAAGCAGTTCTCAAATTTAGTGCTCCGATACCAAGAATAGAACTTCCGCAAATCCATGATATTCTCGCTTCCAGTTAGGTATTTAAATAATTAAGCGGATTGTATTTTGGCGTAGTTTTCTTTCATACTACAAAGTAGTTTTTTGGGGTATCTAATATAAAGAATTTAGGAGCAGTAGCTCAATAATTCGTGCAGTGCTTGTTTATTTGGTAATTTGAGTTAAAAAATGACATATTGCTTTTGAATATATGAGTTTTTGGCTCGTTTTGAGATTCTAATTTTTGGTTGATGTGACTAGTATCTCAAACGAAACCCTAGGTACTGAACCAAGCAAACGCTTGTGTTATGTAATGAGTTCGATTTTTAACCGAATTCGCATAAGTGAGTCAACAAATGTGTTCATCTTCAATATCTGTTTACTGCTCTAATCTTATTCACACTTGCGAGCTTGCGAGCGTTAATGTATTCGTACGAACGGTTTTTGTTCTAACCTAACTCGCAAATAAAAGTGTTCATTGAAAGTGTTCACCTATGTGGAAATTTCACTGTAGCTTTGGAAATTGAATAGCTGTTCTCTGCTTTATTTGTGGCTAGTTTTTGTGATTAATTAAGCTTCCGTGGCTGGTGCGTGAGACCCATAATCTCTAGTTCGCAGCAGGGCGTAGGTTCGAATCTGAGATGTAGCTAAATTTCTCTTAATTCGAGGCTAGTTTCTACTTTTTCCTTTTGCATTTTATAGAGCTGCTTTTTTATCGTGTTCTCGCTAGTGTTTGCGAAGTGCAGCTTGGCCTCTGTGATGGAAATTTGTTAGAATGTATCTGCTTTTTGGTGGCTGGTGTTTAGAAGACAGCGAGTTGGTTTTGCGCAGTTATGAAGACATTAGACTGTGATTATGTGGTTTTGAGCTAGAATCCCGTAGACTGCGTTTTTTAAAAGCTTTTTTGTGTATTTTCTTGGTTTTTAAAGCTCTTTTATGCCATTTTTGTCATTACGCAAGCAAAGCTTGTGTTATATTATGAACTCTCTTTTTTCCAACCTAAGTCGCAAATATTGTTGCGACGCAAATGTTGCGGCAAAATGTGTTCATTTTGAAAGTCCAGTTCGATCAATAACCAGCTATTAAGAACAGCCAATGCTACGGATATTAACACAGACGGATCAACCAAACAATTTCCCACCTCCCCCTCCCAAATTGATTTAGGGGGAGAAAATATGGATTTTCACGAAATAACTTTGAGTATACCTTAGATTTATAGAAAATTAAGTTTATTCAGAGAAAATTGATTTAAAAATCGTTAGCTTAGATTATTAAGAGCATTCAAATGCAATCCCACATAAAAATTGTGACAACTAATTTTATGTTCGTGTTTTTCGGAATGCATATATACAGAATTAAATTTCAAATTTAATACGCGGCGTGGGGAGAAATTCTACGGTTGGTCACTTAGGGGTGAGATTTTCGTATACTAGCTAAAGTGTGTCTGCTCTATAAGATGGGGCATATTAATCGGTAATTTTTTTTCAAACTGAATGGTACTGCTAATGCGTCATAATTGGCTTGCGTCACTTAGCAATTGTGTAGACTCATAATTGGCGTGCGTCCTTTAAGAAACTTTGCAGACTCAAAGTTTAACTCATTCAGTTTTTTCCAGTAGCGTTATCGTCCATATTTTTGCTTGTGTATGCGAAGTGCAACTTCGCCTCTGTGAAAAGAGATTCACGTCATACAATATCATATCTTTGTGGAAACTAAACTAAGAATTGATAGCAGTTGGATATGAAACCGCTTATTAGCTCCTTTCGAGTTGGCTGAAATCTGAGAAAATGAAGCTGGCCTATAATGGGAAAGAGTCACATTTAAATTGTTTTCAATTCAGTGTTACTATTATCATGACAGGGTTCTTATTTACTAGTTTACAAAATATAGATTGGGAGGACGCCATTAGGCTGCAGGAGTCTATTTTCGGGCGCCTTGCAGCCTAATGGCGTCCTCACAATCTATACAATTGTAGACGAGTAAATATGAACTCAGTGATTACAATAGTAACCCTAGATTGGAAACAAAATTTTATTTTTTTTCTTCCAACATATTCGAAATTCGAATGGTTTAGTCTTTTGTTGTTTTGCTTTTGTTCGCACCTTTCAAAGGTCGAATGGCATTGTTTCTTTTCTCTGCAAACCTTCCAAATTCGACTTCTATAAACGTCTTGCCTAATGAAGTAGCTCGGAGACTTTCCAAATAACTATAATTATGCAAACCGTAATGAAATGGGCTCTGGTTATCGTAAAAAGTGTGATTGAAAAAATTGAATGTGGCATAACAATCGGGTACTAGACTTGAGAAAGGTCAATTTTAGTAGGAATGGTAAATTTCAACTTCACGACTGCTAAAATGCAGACTGCTGACATGCTCAGTTTCTTAAATATTTAATTTCTCAGATTTTAAATAAAACTACTATGATTTAGGTAGTAATTAGGGGAAGTTCGTTTCAGGTTGTTTTACTAACCTCTGTAAAGGTTGCTGTTCGTACAAAAAGAATGGTCAATAAATGTTCTAGGAAGAAAATATGTTTCATCAACGGTTTTACAGATGAGTGAGTTGGGAAAAATGTATCTATTGGACTGAGCCGTTCAAGTGTAAACCATGAGCGAAACCGAGAAAAAACCAGAGACAACGACTGATTCCGGCATTAAAAATGAAAAGATCAACCATCGAACAAGTTTAGCTCTTCTGTTGGGTTCATTACAATCAGGGGAAATTGGAAGCAATGACGGTTTCCAACCTACATTCCAATCGTCATCCAACCCTTTCAGTAAAAACAAAATAGTTAATGAAGACGGGCAGAAAAGTTCAAATCAGGCTAATTTTAATGATGCTAACAGAGGGTCAAACAGCAGCGATGAAAGAAATGATTTCGGAGGTCGAGGAGGAAATTTTGGCAGTAACAGAGGCAGGGGTTTGAATGAATTCTCTAGGGGACAGAGGGGAAGTCGTGGGAATTTGCTTGCATCCTACAACCAAAATAATTTTAGGCCTGATTCCGGTAGTGATGCCAATTCCAGAGGTCGACATTCCGATAGAGGCCGAGGATCCAATAGAGGTAGAAGATCGGATAGAGGTCAAGGGCACAACAGAGGCCGAGGGTCAGATAGAGGTCAAGGATACGATAGAGGTCGAGGGTCAGATAGAGGTCAAGGATACGATAGAGGTCGTAGAATGCAGAGACAAAACGCAGAACATTATAGGGGATCTAATCAACTTCCAAGAGGACACGGTTACCCTCCGCATAATATGTACAACAGAGGTCCTCCTGGAAATCAACCGCCGCCTCGAGGTGGATTTAGAGGGCAACCAAGCTACCATGACTCACATCAGAATTATCGAAATTATGAAGATGGCTATGGCTATCAGCATAAACTTGAGCAAATGAATGGCAATCCTAATTTCACACCTTTGGGACCCGCGAACCCTGACGTAGCGCACCGTGCACAGTATCCGAACCCACAATTTGGTCTAAGTGACACGAGCTACATGGAAAACTCGTATGACAATTACTATTCGGAAAATTACATAGTCGAGTATTACGAAGTAGATGAATTAGGAAATCATTACCCTATTACTGACCAGTCCTTTTACACTGGATATTACCCAGAGTATTACGGATATAATGAAGTTGCCGGCGCGTACGGTTATGGGCAAATTGGCCAACCTGGCAGCGATGGCAAGCAAACGCCGCCTAATACAGGTGAAAGTATACAACCAGCACCTCCACCTTTGCCCAAAAATAGCCCATACAAACCTCCACTGCCACTGAAGCCAAATTTTGAAGCCCAAGAAGAACCTCAGCAGAAAATAATCCCACATGATCCAACTGCGAATAACTTGTTCAATGCTATAAATTTTTCTATAAGCGAAGAGCAGTTCAATACATTGGCACAAACTGTCGCCTCGCTTGAAAACCAAACACAAACGCCAAAACCAGAACCGATAGGTACAGTAATTGAACGTCTGATGAATCGAGGAAAAGCTGAAGAAGCAGCGGCTGCTGAGTTGAAGCAGGAATCAGCTTCTGCGCTTGGGATCAGTTTGGAAATGGATTCGAATCCAGAAGGAATTCTGGACCGTCTGGAAACTAAGTTTTCGGCATCAACGCCTATGAAAAGTGAAAGCGATGAGACTACAAGTGGATCTAAGCTAGAAGCAAATTTAGCAAAAGCGTATTCACATTTTCTCCAGGCATCTGAAAGCCGAAAAAGGACATCTAGTTTTGACGACGAAAACGAACCCGAAAAATGTCCATCTGTGAAAAAGCAAACCCGAAAAACATTTGACGTTGGACTTGGAATCAGCTTAGACATCAATTATGACTCATCCCTGGCAGAGACACCACACGAAACCAGTTTAAACAGTTCTGGTTTTGAAGCCAGTCAAAGTCAAAATTCAGGACGATCAGATTCGCCGCCTGGTATCTCAATTGCTCGACCCCTTTCACCCTTTAATCTTATGGATCGACAGTCGAGCCCAACAATTTCCCCAAAACACGAGGAATACTCGCCTTTTAAGATTAGAAGACAGAAATTTACTCCACCGAGATTTGAATCTTCAGACAGGCGTTCCGCGTCGCCGCTGCAAATGGACGACGATGATATTGATCGTCGAAGTTCAAGCCCTGAAGCGCCTCCAGTTATGATAGAAGACGACGATGACGCAAAGAATTCTCTCGATTTTACGGGTAACTCCCGTTACAGTCCAAGCCCTCCTCGTATGAATGACTCTTTTGACAATCCGCCTATCAGTAGCAGAAGTAGTCTTTCTTCATTCAAATTAAATGATACAGGCTCGTTTAATTCGAGTTTCAGCGGAGGTGGACGTCGAGGCGGGCAGTCGTCGTTTCAAAGAAGAAAACCTATGTATTGTCGAACCAAAATACCTTCAATGAGCAAAGCTCCGATGGTTTGCGACGAAAGATTTTTTGTGCAGTATCCCGACTACTTTGAGCACCAGAAGGCTATCCATGGACTGAGAAACGGAATTCCCTGTATTGAGCAGAAATGCCATTACACAGCTCCAGGATTAGACCAGTTTCTGAACCATATCAAGGCACGTCACGGTCAAGAGTCTAATTCAACGGAGGCCAATGCAATGTGATAAGTATTGATTGACGTTTGTTAATTTATACTTGATGACATTTAATGTTCAAAACCTTATATATCAGTTTTTTTATATATAATTACTTGAATTTATTTTCATTAAACTCAGTTTTTGCTGTAGCTCATGTAACGTTCGTAGTGTCGACTTAAATACGTATAAAATATCGGTTGCGGTCCAAGTAGTACAAATTGTTCAACATCTACAGTTACCTGCCTTAAGTTATGTTTTTAAAAAATGAACTAAACCATTATCATGCTAATAAAATCACAGCTAATAAAATCACAGAACTTCAATATGGTGCCACATTCAATCGGTGGGGTTCTTTTTCGGAAGATCTGAATAATTCTTTTAAAAAATAATCAGAAACTATTAGTTAAGTTTTGTTTACTCTTTGGACCGAAATACCGACTTTCATCCTTTAATTGAACCTAATCGAAAATAATTTTGATCTTGCAAATAGGTGGGCGTCGTGATAATTGTCTGTCAATTTTTAATTGCTTGAAATTTCATTGAAAAATTTTCTCGCAAGAGGTCTAACTTTCTTAGAATTGCTCTAAGTTGCAATCAAATTCCGGGCAAGAGTGAAAGTTTCTTCGGTTTTGCTGTAAATTTGAAGTTGAGTAAATTATCTTCAGTTAAAACTGAACTTTGAATTTGATCTTTAGACTGTAATGGCGAATCAGCAAATAAATGCGAATAGTTCTATCCCCCTTCCCAAAATGCATACAGAACCCTCTATGAGTCAACAAAAGCCGTCCATGGCAGCGAGCCAAGACAACAGCCACGTCCTGAACAAAGTATTTGGAGGAAAGTTTTCACGATACCTGGTCGACAAGGAGACGGTGAATCATCTGTCAACCACTGCTATTGGAAATGAAGATGACGAATACCATCAAAATTACGTGAAACGATTGCGAGAAGCACAAGCAGAGCAGAATAAGCGAATTCAAAAGCTGGCAAACATGGAAAAAATGATCATACAAGCAAGAGCGAAAGCTTTGTCGCATTACGAGCGACAAGTAAGTGCAGGTAGTCCAGTAATGAGTGCGAGCAACTACATAAGCTTCATGGACAACCAGATGTTGCGAGAAAGTGGACTGATTGTAGCTGAGGATTTATTCTCGGATCCGTACGAGTACAAGAAGCCGGAAAAGCCCACGAAGCGTCCGAACTACACTCGTTCTACCACTGGATCACGAGAGAAAACGAGACCGGTGCCAAGAGATGATGGCTATGTCCAAACCATGCAAGCCATACTTGCAGCAGGTGATCGATCTGTGGAAGCTGGATCGCCTGAACCGAGTGATTTCCAGGAGTTCATGAGACCAAGTACGATGTGGGAAGACATGCCGAATGCGGAGAACCGAGAAGAGGCGAAAAAGTACTTGTCTATTATGAATGCTAGACAAGAGTATCTGAAGAATCCGGCTAAAGACAACAACCTTTCTCCAGAAAGCGCCGAGTATCACCAGTCCCCGTTCACAGCTGTCCCCGCCAAGCTAGTTTTCACCAAGTTCAGAATCGGCCAAGGTTATGAGATAACTCTTGAATTGAAGAACATCTCGAGCTGTCAGCGCAAATGTCGAGTTCTTCCACCTAAGAGTAACAAGTTCAGTGTGAGTTTGGGATCTTTTCCAACTGACGGAGGATTTGTAGCTCCTGGACTGTCCAGTCTTTATACGGTTAATTTTGTCCCGGAAACCCTGGCTGACTGTGACGATGAGCTGATCGTTCAAACCGACGGATACTGTGACATGATTGTCCCGTTGCAAGCCAGGCGACCGCCGCCAGTATTGACCCTGAAATCTGTCATTGATGTCGGCCACTGTCTTGTTGGAGGAGCAAAATTGTCCGAGTTCTCATTCAAAAACGAGGGCGGAGACGGCTCTTTCTTCATTCTTCCCAAATCTAAATGGCCGGCAACTGGGTACAAGAACTTTGTACAAGGCCAGCGGATAATCGAAGCGCCATTCGAAGTCCGCCCAGCTATGTTCTTTGCCCCTAAAGGAAGCACAATTCCGTTGGAAGTGCTTTTCCTCCCGAAGAGTCTGGGAAAGTTCACGCTTGATGTTTTGCTCGTGTGTGATAATTGCAACATCCGGAAGGTTACCCTGGTAGGCGTGGCACAAGAAGCAAAAGTCGAGCTGACTCAAGTATCTGATGGATCCCTGGTTGAACCCACTGTCGACGAAGCGATAGATCCGGCCGCTCAGAAATTTGTCAAGTTCCCGCCGATTAACCCTATGACCTATGCAGTACGCAAGATGACAATCAAGAACATGACACAAGTTGCGATGAGTTTTTCTTGGCAAATCATGAAACCACTGCTTGTTCCACCCTCAGAACTTACCAAAAAGGGCGAAGACGGACCAAATGAGAAGGGTGATGCAAAGAAAGAAGAAGTTAAGGAGAAAGACAGACAATGGGATGTAAGTTCGCCGTTTTCGATCTCACCGAACGCGGCCGAATTGCCAGCTGGAGGAGAAATAGAATGCTCGGCTATATTCGCAGCTCCTTATGCCAAAGAGTTCCACAACCTGTTCCAACTGATACTCCACAATGTGCCTAAAGTTCCAGAAGTTACAACTGAAGAAAGTTTGTCTGAATCAGGTCAATTGACAGGAAGAAACACTAGCAAGAGTTCGAAGCACGCAACTGACGGCAAGTCGGGTTCAAATGGAAACGCTAACCAAATGCCGATCACTCTTCGCGACGAAATCGGCTTGCTAGTCGACGTGAAAGGAGAGTGCCTGCCGTATAATGTATGCTTCGTGCCCTACTGCATCGACTTTTCCGGTAAAACGCTTCTAGGAACTACAGTTCGTCGACCGATTCAGATCATGAACAATAGTTTGGCTCCGGTTTATTTCCGATGGAGACCAGTACAGGCAGATGAGAACGAAATAATCGAAGTGGAACCCTCGGAAGGCGAAATTGCCGAAGGTTATTGGGCCTCACTTGAAGTCGCTATCTCGCGAAACAAACCAGGAAAAATAGAACGTGAACTTATCTGCGAAATTGAGCACCAGGAGAAAGCTCCTATGAGTCTGAAGCTAACTGCCGATATTGTTGGTCCAGAAGTTTCGATTGGCTGTGATAAAGTGGACTTCGGACTTGTGAGAGTAGGTGACCCGTTGACAAGAAAGTTCTTAATCACGAATAAATCTTCGATTGCAGCCAAATGGTTATTCGACATTCCGAATAAGCCTGCTGCAGGTCTTCAAGTATTATCACCTGCTGGTGTTTTACCACCACTGGGGAAATCGGAAATCGAGCTCAAATACACACCGAGCAAGGAAGAAAAGTTCGAATTAATCGGTAAACTGAAAGTGGAAAATGGACAGGAACTGTTTTTGAAGCTAGTTGGTGAATCGCAAACTCCGACGTTGTGTTTGCTAAACTGCGAAGTTGATTTGGGATTGGTATACATGAGTGTACCGGTTTCAACCCACGTGCAGTTATGCAACATGACTGATTTCGCGACTGCATTCAGGTGGGGTGAAGTAACTGGAGAAGACGCCGAGTTCTGCAAACTGAAAATATTTCCAGAAACTTCGATCATTGAACCGAGGGAAACGCAAGACATCGAAGTTCAGTTCATGTCGACCAAAATGATGGAGTTCAATGATATATTTTTGCCATGCTTTGTCGAAGAGGAGAAACCTATTTGGCTGGCGCTTAAAGGTCGAACCTCAGGACTGGCTGTTGAGTTTAAAGTCATTGATAGCGACGGAACTAATGGAGGAAGTGATGATATTAAATCAGAAACGGAGTTCGACTTCGGAGATGTGACCTTAGGAGAGGTCAAAGTTCAACAGTTGCTGATTCGAAATACGACTGCGATTATGGCCGAATACAAGCTACATGTACAGAACTTCCCATCTGAGCCAGTACCTGAGCGTGTAGACCGAAGTCTGAAAGCGGCCTTGAAGAAGGGCGAAAGGGTGGGGCTCTTAAGACAGACTCCGCACTTGGCAGATCCATATAGTATCACGCTGCCGAAAGCTCTCGAAGAATACAACACGGCTGTTCTGAAAAGCAATCACGGAGTTGCATATGTGATCGACCCTGCGCAAGGAACTCTTCCGCCATTTGGAGAAGTTGTGATCGCACTGGCTTGCTACTCGGACATGTGGGGATTGTATTGTGATACCCTGATAGCTAATGTTGGATCGCTCCCTCCGGAGCATATTCCAGTCAAGGCTAATATTTGCAACGGTAGTCCAATATCCTACCAGATCATGGGAGCTCTGAAAGTTAAAGAGCCTATAATGAGATTTGGAACCAGAATCCACGATACTGAAACAGTCCTAAGGTCGGTTCAAGTAAACAATAATGGACCTGTTGATTTGAAAGTGTTCTGGAGTGCCTGTGATTATGATCCTAATGAGAAGAAGTTGGTTAATCTGGAGTTGTTTTCTGGCCGTCCATTGGGGGATGAAAACTTACTGAATGCGATTACAGAGGATGAATCGCCAGAAGCTACAGCTCGAACGGACTTGCAAAGTGTAGCTGAAAGCGAAGCTACTGAAATTTCGTCGCGGGAGTTGGAGCTTCAACCTTTTCTCTCATTGAAAGTTCTCTGCCACAACGGAACTGGTGACTCTAAATACTTCAAGATAGAGCCTGAGCAAATAGTGATTCCGGCGAGATCGAGTGTAAAACTCACAACCAGCTTCATTCCTCAAAGTCCGAATGGATCCGATGTGAAGTGTTTCGGCTTCTGTCAGGGATTCATGTCGCTGGACGAGAAGAGTCGCAACATGACAGGGGTCACCCGCTTGGACCAATATGACGTGGATCCGGTGCGCTTTTTCATGATGGGAAACATAAAACCGGCTAGACTCACTATAGAACTGGACGAGGATACTCCAATTATGGGGACAATCTGTCTTGAAGGGACACCAAGCCAGCTCATGGACCCTTCTGGCCAAATGAAGGAAATTGCTTTTTCTAAGAAGCAAACGCTGAAGCTCAGTAATCCGACGGAGGCGCCATTGACGTTTGAGATGTTCTTTCCTGAGTTTATCTCAATGTGGATAATGGTACGAAAAGGAAAAACTAAGACCTGGGAAGCCATTTCGGATCAAATGTTCAAGTTGGAACCGCAACATCACTACCAGTTCAACGTCGCGTTGCGACTTTCGAAGTTGTTCATTGATGACTTGGTAAGGAGTTCTTCTGATGAAAATTTGGATAGCGGAATTGAGGTAAAAAGCAGCTCGGGAGGTGGGAAAATACTCTCTCTCAACGACTGTATCCAGATACACTACTCGAATGGGGAGAAAGAAGAAGTACCGATTAACATTACGCTCAGCTTCCCTAATTTTTTCACGACGCTCCAAATGAAATCCGAGGACGGCGAGGGTGAAAACGAACAGATTTTGTTCGATTTTGGAGCTCGATTCATTGGAACTGTTCACACGAAAGAGATGGAAATTGTGAACAAAACTAGCTGTGGCTCATATTGGAAAATAGGGGTCGAAACGACACCTGCTCTGAAAAATCCAAGAAAATTGGATGATGGGGTCTTCAAAATTACGCCAGCTAGCGGGTACTTGGGTCCCTTTCTGGCAGATGAGAAAGCCGCGAATAAGCAATTGATCGAAATCTCGTTCACGAGTGGATCTCAAGATTACGTGGAGAAAGAGTACTGCATCAAAGGGAAGTTCGGAGAGGATCCGATCTTCTTCAAAGTGTGCGGAAGTGGGTCCCAAGATGGACACTTTGAGCAGGCAGATTGAAGTAACGAAGTGAGTTGCACAAAAACAATGTATTGTACATATCTATCTTAAACCCTTTCAAATCAATTTAAAGAACTGAATGGTTAATAGCAAAACCAGGTCCCTATGTCGAAATCAAATTCTGTAAATAATCGAATTCAAATACCGAATAATTGTAAATAAAATTATATGTATACATGTAGAAAGAATTAAATCATAATAAAAAAAACTAGTTTTTAGTTATAGACATGAGGCAGGCAATAAATCTATCTATACATTACTTAATTGGCGTTTCACTTGAAACTTGTTTAAGAAGTCCCTATATTGACATGCTTAAGCTTTTTCAACGTATTGCTTTTTGCATGTTTAACGAAAGATTTTTTTCACGTTTAAGCTATATCGTATATTGTAATGCTTGAGAATTTTCATTTGGCACATAATGAAAAAAACGCTTTGTGGGACTGTTAAAAAGCCCAAACATTGCAAGGGTTGATTTAATTACTCAAGTCGACGTTTTAAAATCTGCTGGAGTGCGAATGCTTTAACTCTACCTTTTTCCTGTATTAGCAACGTAAAGCTCAATAATTTTGTTTCACAATTTTTTGAAAACTAACTTTGAATGTCTCCTCTCTATAGTGGGGTGCTATCAGGGTACAAGGGTTGCAAATCTGTCGTCTAAGTATGGCTGCTCAAATCCCTTTGGTTTTCGAGATATGGCGTTTTTGATGATTTTTACAATTTTTTTTTCTTCAAAAAATTTAGAAATAAAAAAACTGACCGAACTTGAAATTCTCGACCCTAAAGGAGTGTACTGTCAGAGTACATTCAGGGGTTAAAAATCTAGCGTCCAAGTACGACTGGTCAAATCTATGTGCTTTTCGAGATATGGCGTTTTTAATGATTTTTTTTTCAAAAAACTTAGATATAAAAAAAACTAACCGAAATTGAATTTCTCAACCTTGTATTTGGGCGCTGTCAGATTACACTCGGTGACTGCAAATCTGGCGTCCAAGTATGGCTTCTCAAATTTTTTTAGTTAAAGAGATAAGACGATTTTTGTGATTTTTTCAAAAATTTCCAGAAATTTTAAATTATATTTTGTTTTCAAACTTGGCGATACCAATTGACAAATAAATATGTGAAGAATGTGATTTTTTTCTCTCCGTGAGCTCCAAAATTTGAGAAAAATGACTAGAGTTAATTTGACAAAATCAAATTTCTCCACCTTAAAAACAAAACTGTGAGAATGTTTCATTTTTCAAGAAGTACCGATTAACATTACGCTCAGCTTCCCTAATTTTTTCACGACGCTCCAAATGAAATCCGAGGACGGCGAGGGTGAAAACGAACAGATTTTGTTCGATTTTGGAGCTCGATTCATTGGAACTGTTCACACGAAAGAGATGGAAATTGTGAACAAAACTAGCTGTGGCTCATATTGGAAAATAGGGGTCGAAACGACACCTGCTCTGAAAAATCCAAGAAAATTGGATGATGGGGTCTTCAAAATTACGCCAGCTAGCGGGTACTTGGGTCCCTTTCTGGCAGATGAGAAAGCCGCGAATAAGCAATTGATCGAAATCTCGTTCACGAGTGGATCTCAAGATTACGTGGAGAAAGAGTACTGCATCAAAGGGAAGTTCGGAGAGGATCCGATCTTCTTCAAAGTGTGCGGAAGTGGGTCCCAAGATGGACACTTTGAGCAGGCAGATTGAAGTAACGAAGTGAGTTGCACAAAAACAATGTATTGTACATATCTATCTTAAACCCTTTCAAATCAATTTAAAGAACTGAATGGTTCATAGCAAAACCAGGTCCCTATGTCGAAATCAAATTCTGTAAATAATCGAATTCAAATACCGAATAATTGTAAATAAAATTATATGTATACATGTAGAAAGAATTAGATCAGAATAAAAAAAACTAGTTTTTAGTTATAGTTATGAGGCAGGCAATAAATCTATCTATACATTACTTAATTGGCGTTTCACTTGAAACTTGTTTAAGAAGTCCCTATATTGACATGTTTAAGCTTTTTCAACGTATTGCTTTTTGCATGTTTAACGAAAGATTTTTTTCACGTTTAAGCTATATCGTATATTGTAATGCTTGAGAATTTTCATTTGGCACATAATGAAAAAAACGCTTTTTGGGACTGTTAAAAAGCCCAAACATTGCAAGGATTGATTTAATTACTCAAGTCGACGTTTTAAAATCTGCTGGAGTGCGAATGCTTTAACTCTACCTTTTTCCTGTATTAGCAACGTAAAGCTCAATAATTTTGTTTCACAATTTTTTGAAAACTAACTTTGAATGTCTCCTCTCTATAGTGGGGTGCTATCAGGGTACAAGGGTTGCAAATCTGTCGTCTAAGTATGGCTGCTCAAATCCCTTTGGTTTTCGAGATATGGCGTTTTTGATGATTTTTACAATTTTTTTTTCTTCAAAAAACTTAGAAATAAAAAACTGACCGAACTTGAAATTCTCGACCCTAAAGGAGTGTACTGTCAGAGCACATTCAGGGGTTAAAAATCTAGCGTCCAAGTACGACTGGTCAAATCTATGTGCTTTTCGAGATATGGCGTTTTTAATGATTTTTTTTTCAAAAAACTTAGATATAAAAACTAACCGAAATTGAATTTCTCAACCTTGTATTTGGGCGCTGTCAGATTACACTCGGTGACTGCAAATCTGGCATCCAAGTATGGCTTCTCAAATTTTTTTAGTTAAAGAGATAAGACGATTTTTGTGATTTTTTCAAAAATTTCCAGAAATTTTAAATTATATTTTGTTTTCAAACTTGGCGATACCAATTGACAAATAAATATGTGAAGAATGTGATTTTTTTCTCTCCGTGAGCTCCAAAATTTGAGAAAAATGACTAGAGTTAATTTGACAAAATCAAATTTCTCCACCTTAAAAACAAAACTGTGAGAATGTTTCATTTTTTGGAGGTCTTGATCAACGTACGCGCACAAAAGATTTTTAAGCAGTTTTTCAAAAATATTGTTGGGTTGTTTAACCATTTTGTTTTGTTTTGGTTGTCTCATTTGTACTGCTAGCTGCCCTGTTTTTGTCTTTTTTATTTGATCTGAAGATGATTATTTCATTAATCAGTTTTTTTGGAAGAGATCTGGTCGATTTCTTCCAAGAACTAAATTTTGCATATCATTTTTGGGATCAAGTTTAAATACAAAATGAATTTCAAAATAGTAATCAAATTATTACTTGGAATATTTGGAAGTCATTCAAGTTGATATCCATAGGCTACTGGTAACTAAGTGTTTAAACAGATTTCTTAAGGCAACTAAGGGACTTTTTTGAACAGATTTCGTGCAAAGATAATTGGTTGCATGCTCGGTTGCACTTGTTTAAGTTTTCTTTAAAATACTAACACTAGCATAATTACTTGCACAATTACTTACATACTAGCCTTTCGACTACCCTTTCAATAGAGTGTATTTGGTGGTAAATTTCGGCTTCTTTCGAAAAACCTAATTAACATCTCAGACTTTATCTCAAAACTAGCACACATATGTCGCACCAGCTCGGAACTATGCACTAGCAGCTCGCTGCAACTTAAAACCGTGCTCTAAATAATACATTTTGAGCTAGTGGTATCAAAACTATGCTTATGTGGCTTGGTTTCACTTTAAACTACATAAATCTAGTGCTGACGTGCTAAAAACTGCTCTAATAGCTTAATGCAAATTTGAATAGTGCATCTGATAAAACTTTTTTAAATTTAAAGAGCAAAAAATATTTTCAATTTGAGTTTTTTTAGCGAACAGAGCTTAAAGTAGTTGAAGCTAACAAAAATCAGTATTGCTATTACGCAACCAAGCAATTACATAATTCAACGAAATGGAAGAGATTATACCAACACCAACGCTAAGGTCTTCTGATTTTGTAACATTTTAAAATTTCGATCTTTTAAATATTTTGAGTGAAAAAGAGAGTTTCTCTGCTATTGAATTTAAACTATCCAACTCGTTTAATATTTTAATATTCTCTTGGTGTTCGTTCAGGAGTATGGTTCCAAAAATCTCCTTGTGGCCCCAATTAAAAATCAGACAGAACATAGGTGAAATGTAGTTTCATCGTTTTTCGATTTTTTTCGCCACAAGTTGTCTCGCCTTATTGGAATTGAAGCATCATTTCTCAGATCAAGCTCAGATTTTGTCGTAGAAATATTACAAATAGTTAATTCAAGGGAATTGATTATTTATAAGGTTGCGGTTTTTATTATTGCATAAAAGTCTTACTAATTCTAAGTCTTGCAACTGAAATGATCTTTTTGATAACTCCTTTTAGTAGAAAGTTTTAATGACAAATCTAATGAAGTGAAGAAATATTACCAGTTTTTCTTGTTTTTATCCATTTGAAGGGGAACCGTAACTTTAGCATAAAGATAAAATAGCGAAGATGTTCAATTACATGTTAGGGATACATAAGATAATCAATTGCATATTATCAGATTTCATGATACTAATACTATCCGTAACATTCCGGCTATCGGTCCGGCAAAAGTTTGGTTTTAAATGAGCACAAAAGAATTGACTTGGCTTTTATTCAGTTTTTTGTTTGAAAAATAAATGGTGTAAATGAATAAACAGTCATGCAGCTGCCACTAAATGGCCATGCGGAAATATTCATCTCATCTAGTTCTTTTTAGAATCACGATAATTTTTTTTTCCACAATTGCAAATCTAGCTACAAAAGCACGCGTTAAAACGTAAGTGAAGCCAGTAAAAGTTTATGCTATTTTAGCTATATGCTATTTTATATAGCCGCCACTTGAAGTACTTCAAGTAGTTTAATAAGTATACACTACAAAACCAATTTTTTGACTGACACTAATCATAAACTGCGGAATTATAATTTAAACAAGTACCTGGCTATTTTCAGCCCCTTTGAGTTTTCTCCGAAATTCGGTCTACAAAAATTTATTTAAAACAATTTTTAAGGTTTTAAACTGCAATGAAGTGTATCGGCGTGAACAATTTAGAAAGTTTTTCGTTCATATCAACTGCAGTTTACTGTAATTTATGGAGGATTTGGTACCAAAAAAGCGCAGGTGACCAAATTAAAATTAAAGCGCAAGTGATTATTAATCTAAGTTTAATTTTTAAATGTGTCCGGAACTTTAGTCTCTCAAAATTGGATCTATTCGACATAAGTTATCTTTAAAGATTGAAA